CCACCCCCGGCCCCCAGCCATCACTTCCCCGGGCCTGGGGATTCCTCAGAGATACTAAACAAGGTGTCTTGGACGTTAGACTCCACCCTCTCTGTAGGGCTGGGAACCCCCAGCGCCCACGGGCGGTCCTCCGCCGGGCCGGGGCCACAGAAAGGCAGCGATCGCCTCTGGGACGCCGAGGAAGAACTGAGGCGTCGGGCTGGGACCAGGCTTCGGACTCCCACCGGGTCTGGGTTACCCCCCGGGGCCCCCAGGGACCGCAGCCCAGCAGCCCCAGAGCGGGGACCCTCCCCCAGAGTGCCCCGCTCACGGAACTCACCCTGCGGACGCCCAGAGAACGCCACTCGCCGCCGCCTCTGAGGCAGCCGACCGCGGCCGTAACCCGATTTGCCCACTGCCTTCCAGAGGGGGCGGAGCCTGACGGCGGCACGCCTTCCCCGGCGGAACCTATCAGAATCCCCCTAGCAACGTCGTGTCCCGCCCCCTGTGGGCTCAATAAGCCCTCCCCCGAACCTCCCAAAGCCTCGCCCCCTTCGAGCTCCGGCTCTGAGCCCACCTGGGTACCACGGCTCCCCGCAGAGGGTAGTCCTTTTACTTCTGCGGGGTCCCTGAAGGCAAGCATAGTGCCCGGCACAATGTAGACGCTTAATAAGTAGTATGGCGTGAATATCTGCTTTATTAAAAGGATGTGAGGAAATGCCATGAAGCACGACCCAAAATAAGCCACTCAAAAACGGTAGTCGAGGATGACTAGGCATTACGACAAAGATGGGTGGGGGAGAGCAAACCAGGTGCAGGGCTCTGTTTTTGCAAAGCCAGGAGACTCTCCTCCCCTACCTGACACTCTGGGCCAGCCACCGGTTGTACTGGCCCAAGCACTCACTCTGCATATTCCTTCTCTTTCATTCATCAAATATTTATTGAGCAACTACTGGGTAGGCGCCAAACACTTTATTCTCGGCACCTTCGCTTGGATGGTCACTGGGCATCTCAAACATAACTGGCCCCAAACCGAACACCAAAGACCTTCCATTTCTCAGGTAACGGCAACTCTCCATGTGCTCAAGCCAAAACCCTGGAGTCCTCTTTGCTACCAGTTTCCCTCACTCCCCACATCCAGTCTTTTGGCAAAGCCTGTTGCTCTCTACCTTCAAAACCCACCTCTCGTTACTCTCCCAGCAACCATCACATCTTGCCTGGATTATTGGTTGCAGCATCCTTGTCACCCATCGGCTTCCACCTGCATTTGTTCTCTCCACAGCAGCCAGAATACTCCTTTAAAACACAGCTCAGGTTGGGGCACCCGGGTGGCTCAGCAGGTTAAGCCTCCCATTCTTGATTTCAGAGGGTCGGGAGATGGAGCCCAGGGTTGGGCTTCTGCTGAGCATGGAGCCTGCTTGAGATTCTCTCTCTCCTTCTCCCTCTGCCTCCCCCACCACCACCACTGCCACCGCGCCCCTGCTTGCTGGAAGGCTCTTTCTCTCTCCCTCGCTAAAAAAAAAATAAAATAAAAAATAAAACATAACTCAGATCACGCCTCACTCCAGACCCTGTGATGGCTGTTCATCCCAGTCTAGAGACTCACAGATTTACAAAGCCCCGCCCACATATTCTGACCCCCATCTCCTGCTGCCCTCGCCCTCCTCCCTGCCTCCCTGCCACACAGTCCTCCTTACAGTTCCTCAAACACACAACAGGTCTCTTCCCTCGGCCTGGAATGCTCTTCCGAGAGATTCTGGCATGACTGCCTCCCTTATTTCCTTCCAGTATTTCTCAAAGGCCACCTTCTCAGTGAGGCCCACCCTGACCATCCTGTTTGAAATTGCAACCTCCCTACTCTAGCAGTTCCCAAGCTCCCTGACTCTCCTATATTTTCCATACCACTTATTCCCTTCTAACACATTTATTATGGTTTCTATTATTAACTGAATAAAATTTAGTGGAAGAGACAGATAACAGGAAATAAAAGCATGAATATAGGGAAGTGTCTACAGTGGCTAGTGCTATAATGAAAGATACAACTCAGGGACGTGATAGAGACTTGAAGGTAGGCTACTTTCCTCCGCCTGGTCAGGGACCGGACGTTTGAGCTGCGACCTAATTGATGTGAAGGAGCCGAGGGGTAGGGGCAAGAAGGAAGAACACTCTAGGCCGCAGGAAACTGAAAAGGCTAGAGCTCTGAGCTGGGAACCGCCAAGTTCGTGGGCAGATATTCCGACCTCACCGCTTCCATGGGCCGTCGGAACCCTAGCCTCCGGCGTGTGGTTGAGCACTCCTGCAAACTTCACTTACAGCCTACCAAACAGACCGACTCCAGGCAGAGCCTGGGGGCCGCGGGTGGGTGGCAGGCCGCTGGGAGTGGCGGAAGCAGAAATGGATAACCCCCAGAAACAGAGATGCGAGAATTTCAGGGGCCGGGTGGAGTGGCCAGGAAGCTCGGCCGGGCCTCGCGGGCTGGAGAGGAGCCCGCCCAGAGGAGGCGCCGGGCCGAAGCCGTCCCAGGCTTGGCTCTGTGGGAAAAGTGGGCCGGGCGGGATGAGGGGGCTGGAGAGGGGGAGAGAAGGACTCCGTGTTCTCCCGGCGGTGGGCTGGGCCCGAGGCCCGCGGACCGCCTGCGGTGGGGCCCTGGGTTCGAGGTCGCCCGCCGCTGACCAGCTCTGTCCGGGCCTCCCGGGCCTCAGTTTCCCTCCCGCGTGGACCCAGGGGCGGCTTCGCGGACCGCCCGGTGAGCCGCGGGAGGGGCGGGGAGGGGCGGGGGTGGTAACCAGAGGCGCGCGGAAGGGGTCTCCCGGCGCCCGCGGCCGCGTTCCGGCCCTGGCGGAGGCCCGGGGTCCGGAGGCGGGATCGCCCCGAGCCGCGGGCTCAGCCCACCCCGCGGGCCGCCCTCCTGGGCGTCGGCGCGCCCGGCGGCGCGGAGGTGAGCGCGGGCCCGGCGGGCTCTGGGGGAGGCGGCCCCGGGAAGGCGTGGCCCGCGGAGACGTGGCGGGGCAGCCCCACTGCGCGGACCCGGAGACTGAGGCGGCAGCCGCCGTTCTGCGGCGCGCGCCCGGGGGCTCCCAGGGAGGCGGCTGCTGTTTGCCGGCGGTGGCGGGTCAGGGGCCCACGTCCCAGCCCGCCCAGCTCCTCTAACAAAAAGAATGTGGAGACACGCGGTGTACCGGCCCCCCGCGGGCTGTGCGGTCCGGGTCCCGCACCCCTGGGAGGGGTGGGGGCCGCGGCTGCCCCCCAGGCTCGCGACCCTGGCGGGGGCACTGCGCCTTCGGACCCGGAGCCCCTCTCCGCGCGCGGGTGCCGGGAAGACAGGGGTGAGGCCGACGCCAGGGCGGACCTCAGTGAGCGCCCCCCCCCCCCCGCCTCCCGCGACCAGCCGCTGGCATGGCCCCGCCCCCGTGGGCCCCGGCGGGTTTCTCTCCAGAGGCTTTATAGTGACCGGTCCTTACGTTACTTCTTACTTAATTTTCCCATTCATTTATTATTTATCTTTGTCTGCTCACAGTGTGTCTCCCCGCTGGAATGTAGGCTCCACGAGGGACGGATTGCTTTGTCCATTGTTGTATTCTTGGTTATTTCAATACTTTCTGAGGTCCTCTTCCTGATGGGCTGGTTATTGGAGGTTACGCCGGCAGCCAGGCTGAGTCCCTCCCGAGAGGAGTCCTGCCCTAGACATTCGGGGGGCTGGAGAGAGTGCTGTAAACACAAAGGGCATCACGGTGGGGGGAACGAAAGGAAAACAGATGTGAGGGGCTGCTGGATGGGTCAGCTTGGGGTCAGGAGCACCAGCGATCAGGGCAGGCCTCGCAGATTAGATGACTGGCCCACAAATAAACCGTGGGATGTGCTAAAAGGGAAAGGCAGGAAGCTGAGGGCACTTAACTCTGACCTTGCCTTTTGGGGGATGGGGAACTGAGCTCAGCAAAGTGACTGTCAATTGCTCTTAAGTGCCTGGTCTGGGTGGGCGAGTGGGTAGGGAGATTATCAGGGGGTCAGGGGAGGCTTCCTGGAGGAGGCGGTGGTTGAACTGGGCCTCTAAAACTGAGTAGGAGTTCTCATCCTTTAAGATGCGGTGACGGGGTTTGACAATTGTTTTGCAGGTGCCCTGGGAACCACAAAGTCAAAGGGCTAAGCCGGGTGGCTGGACAGGAGGCCCTCGCCCTCTTGCTGTGAACTCTCCTGGTAAGTGGGTCCCTGCCGAGACTCGCCCCCAGAAGGTGTGAGGGAATCAGGAAACCAAGCTCTGCTTCTCACTGGTCACGCGGTCTTGGGCAGTTCATCTTCGCTGCTCTGGGCCTCTGTTTTTCATGAGTCAGGAGGACAGTTGGATTAGGTGCCACTTATGATCCGTGGGGTACCCACATTCAGTGGTTGGGGTTGGTCCTACCCAGCCGTGCCCTGTGTTCATACCACACTCTTGTTTGTTTAGCGGTCCCCGCCTAAGCGCCCCCAATGGAGGAATGGGGCCGGCCTGCCCCAGCCTGCTTTCATCTGGCCCCAAAGGCTACACATTCTTAACTATAAAGGATAACTGTGCCGTTAACGAAGGAGAGAGAGGCTGGCAGGGGCCCAGGAGGGTCACAGAAACCTTGGAGGTTTGGCCTCAGGGTTGGAGCTAAGGGTCCCCTGGATTAAGGAATGGTTTAAGCACAATGATTTCTATGGGTTCGGGGTCCATTTCGGCTCAGCTGATGCTTTTTTCTTTGGATGTTAAAAAGCTGTATCAAACCCCTCCATTCCTTCTGGTCTGGGACAGTCACATTATCCTTCTCTGTGAGTCCTCTGCTGTCCAGTTTTTTGCATGCCCCTCACCCTTTGAGAGGAAAGGCAGGGACACCAGCCCATTTCACAGATGAGGACACTGAGAGCCTCGGGGCACACAGCAAGTGAGTAGGGGCCTCAGGGAAGAGGCCCAGGTCTCCTCCAGAGGCAGCATTCTTTTCCCGACAGGGGCAGAGGGGCTGCTTTCCTCTCTGACCTGTGGCCACCCGTCTCCTCTCACAGTTCTTATGGGAGCCATGAAGCTGAACGAGAGGAGTGTGGCCCACTATGCACTGAGCGACTCCCCGGCCGACCATACGGGCTTTCTGCGCACTTGGGGCGGGCCAGGGACTCCACCGACCCCCAGTGGCACTGGCCGAAGGTGCTGGTTTGTCCTCAAAGGCAACCTGCTCTTCTCCTTTGAGAGTCGTGAGAGCCGGGCCCCGCTGAGCCTGGTGGTGCTGGAGGGCTGCACAGTGGAGCTGGCCGAGGCTCCCGTGTCTGAGGAGTTCGCCTTCGCCATCCGCTTCGACGCCCCTGGTGTGCGCCCACACCTGCTTGCGGCCGATGGGCCCGCGGCACAGGAGGCCTGGGTGAAGGCACTGTCCAGGGCGAGCTTTGGCTACATGCGCCTGGTGGTGCGCGAGTTGGAGAGCCAACTGCGTGACGCCCGCCACAGCCTGGCCTTGCATCGCCACTCATCCTGGAAGGCCGCTGGCAGCCACTGTAAGCCCCAGGCTCCTGACCACCGGTCTCTGGGCCTGGAAAACGGTCACTCCCCCTCCAAGGATTGCAGCCCCATGGACTTGGTTGAAGAAAGGGGCAGCAGGCCAGCAGGGCGGGGCTTGGCCGAGTGGCAGGGCCCTGCCAGCCACTTCCTAGGCAGGAGGCAGAGCCCCTCGTTCCCTGAGACCTCCTACTTCTCTACCCTGCACAACTGGTATGGCCAGGAGATCATGGAGCTGAGGCAAAGGTGGCTGCAGAGGGTCTGGGGGAGCCAGCCAGAACGTGAGGAACAGGATGGGCCCTGAGCCTCAGCCTTTCGGGTTCCACCCTTATCCTGCTGGTCAGGACTCCGGGGCCAGTGCTTTTCCAGGAATTCAATGTTTATTCGGTTTAAAGTTGCTTTTTTTGAGAGGGTTCTTTCCTTCCTGCTTTTTAGAACTTCTCCAGGTTCCAGATCCACCCCCGTACCTGGAGGGGACTGAGGAATCATTCCTTCCAGCCCATTTATTTCCTGAGGCCCAGAGAGGAGAGGGGGCTTGCTTAGCAGCGGTAGAGCCAGACCCAAGTCTCCTGCCGCTGTGCTGGACTGCCCCTCTCTCAGGGGATACGAAGGGGAGGCAGGAAGTGGGGACTATCACGTGGCCATCGACTGCCATGCGTTTTTACCTACACACCACAGACTCTACAACCACAACTTCCTATGCTGGGAGTCTTGTGTACACTTAAATACCAGAAGTTGGCTGAAGCGTTGGCTCGAGGGATTGACATCGTCAGAGAAAGTAGATTTATTGTCCTGGGGGTTTCTGGGGCCCAGCTCTTCCTGAGTGGTGGGGCATAGGACCCCCACTCTGCAGTTTGGGTGGGGCCCTTTGGAGGGAGAGGTCCTTCAGCCAGCAAAGAGGAATTGATTCTGCTCAGAAAGTGTTGGGGCCTCCAGCTTCTCTCCCTCGCTGCCCTGTCTATAGATGGTGCTGGTCATTGCCCCAGGAGGGGCTGGTGGCAGAAATCCTTCCTGTATTCTGTCCTTAGAAGCTAGCTCCTGGAGCTGCCACTTGGGAAGCTAAAGGAGTGGGGAGGCAATGGGGCTCCTTGGGGAAGCCAGGTTGTTATTTTGGTTCTCAGTCCCGGTCATTCTAGGAGCTTGGACACGGGATTCCCAGCACCGTGTGATAAACTCTTCTCTCCTAACTGTACTCCCAAACCAGCCGTTCCTGATCCTGAACCTGGCCTGGGAACTCATTCACCGTCCTGCTTGTCAGCCAGTGCTTATCTGCCAAGACCCTCTCATTGCTACTCTCAGCAGCAGTGGTGCCAAGTGTTTTCTTTATTGATAGTTTAGGGAGGCAAAGTGGCTGGATGGAGAGAGCCAGCAGCCAGACTAGCCTGAGCCCTGGGGGTGTGGCAACAGTGGCTGGAGGGAAGATGCAGCACCTGGTCCAGACATCCCCCCTCTGCCCGCACACAATCTGCCCCTTCTTAGCCTCTCCAGCCCTTATTAGGACCTTGGGTACACTGCCCAGGGCCCCACTAGGTCAAGAAGCTTCGACTCAGCCTCGGAAGTCCAGGACGCCGAGAGGCCACCACGGTCCGGAACCCGTTCCCGCGGGCTTGTTTCCCAGGCCCATGCAGGAGCCCACAGCCCACTGCGCCTTGTTTGATACACAGATACTACAGGCTCTTGTTATCGTTTTTTTACGGTTACAATGGTTTTTTTTATACGATTAAAACACTAAGTTTTTATTACTCACTTTGGTTCCTCGTTTATTTGAACAATCACTTGAGCAATTTTTGCGAAAGCCCCCCCTTCCCCCTTCATTTGCCTGTATATAACGCATACCTTGGCAAGAAATAAAATCACAAAATCATGGGGCGCCTGGGTGGCTCAGGCGTGAAGCGTCTGCCTCCGGCTCAGGTCATGATCCCAGGTCCTGGGATCAAGCAAAGCCCCGCATCGGGCTCCCTGCTCGGCGGGAAGCCTGCTTCTCCCTCCCCCACTCCCCTGCTTGTGTTCCCTCTCTGGCTGTGTCTCTCTGTCAAATAAATTTTAAAAAAAATTACAAAATCATCCAGGTAGTACAACTAATAGGCTTGAAAATAAAAAAAGAAAAATACAACTGTTTGAGGGTCGATGAAAGTGACCTCTCTTTTCAACAATCACCGGCTCTGCCCGGCCCGGGCGCTCCACGGTGAGGGAACAATGGCGGAAGTAAGAAGGCTCCACCGGGACCGCCCGCCTGACGACCCCGCCCGCCAGGCCCGGAACCAGGGGGCCCCTGGGGCGTCGTCCCCCTCCTCGTGACGTCAGCACGTCGGGCGAGTGACAAACGCCTCTTTCGCACAGGAACTAGGCGCACTGCGCAAGTGTGCGGGCTGGGCCTCGCGAGGGTTGGGGCGGCGCGCTTCCGGAGGGCGTCACAGGGGTCGGGTGGTGGGGTCCGGATGCCGGGCTAGGGGCGGAGCCGGGAGATGGCGTTCGGAGCGGCTCGCCGGCTGGCTTTGGCATCCGTCCGATCCGGGGCTTTCCGGAACGGACCGAGCTTGAGGAAAGGTGGCGATGTCTCCGCCGGAGGGGGTGGCTCAGGTCGGAGCCTGGTACCGTCGAGGTCAGTCATCGTTACTCGCAGCGGCGCCATTTTGCCCAAACCGGTGAAAGTGAGTGTCTGCCTGGAGGCGGGGCGAAGGGGCTGCGGCCAATCATTGTGGGGAGTGTGCGCGGGTCGACGCTGACTGATAGGAGCAAAGGCCAATCATACAACCGCCTTAGACCGGAAGACGGATCAAGGACAAAGTTAAGCAGTGATGCGCTGCTTATTTTGACAGGTGGGAGGAAATGGGTCAGATCCCCGTATTGAGTTGGGCGCACGGAGACAGAGGATGGGGGGGTGAGAGCTGAGAAAGACTGCACTTTGCACTAGTTCATCGTGGGGAGCGTGGTGCCCTAGTTCTCCAGGCCACAAGACTCGGCTTTATGCGTCCAGTATAGACAGATCACGTAACCACTCCGTTCTTGTCTACCTCGGAGTTGATGGGATGGAATAATGAGTTGTGAAAGGGCTTCGTAAATAAAGGGTACGTGGGACAGACCTTATATTTTTATGAGTTTTGACCTAGTACTTAATTCACCTTATTTGCAGTCCTGAGAGGTGGGCAGGGCATTATTGCAATCACAGTTTCTACAAATGAAGTCGGGCCAAAGCAGTGAAGCCGTGAGGCTCCAAAGCTAGCAGCGAGTTAGGGCCTGGAATCCAGGTTTCTGGCTGGTACACCCTCACCCCCAACCAGGTCCTATTTTTTTCCACCACTGAATGCTATCACATGTCCTGAGTACCCTTGGGTTTTTCTAAGTAAAATGGAAACAGCCCCTTACACCAAACAAGTTTGCTCTTTGACTCCAGGGCCGTGTGGGAGTTAACAAAAACAAATTCTCTTAAAGCTAGTGTGGTCAATGCTAGCTCGCACAGACAAGTGAGTTCAGGACTGTTTTGTGGCAAGAAGCAGGGTCCATATTGGGGAAGAGCTGCCTTATAAAAAGGCATAGCTGGAAAAAAAAAATTGAAACTCCGTAGGAAAATATGAGAGGATATGTTGAAATTCTACTGAAACTCCCCCAGTCCATCTACACAGCTAGTCTTTTATGATAAAGACATGCTCACTTTTCAAAACATGGTTGTTTTTAAGATTTAACGTGGTGAAATTAAACTTCTCAGGCACTGAGGAATCTGTTAAAGAACTGTATGGAGTATCCTTCCACTGTACGTGCACATCTAATTTTTAGATGTCTAGAATGAATGCCTTACACTTTTCTTTCTGGTAGCCATTGATGGCCATAAAATAACCTTATCTCTTCTTCTTCTTTCTTGCTCTGAATGTTTCCAAAATCAAGTAGTTGCGTATTACGGGTCTGGGGTCCACAGGAGTGCTCCTGAGGGGCCAAGTCTTCTGTGGTCCAGAGTTGGCTCTGGAGCTCACAGCCACCACTCTGACCCTCTGCAGATGTCCTTTGGCCTTCTCCGTGTGTTCTCCATTGTGATCCCCTTTCTCTATGTCGGGACGCTCATTAGCAAGAACTTTGCCGCTCTACTTGAGGAGCACGACATTTTTGTTCCAGAGGATGATGACGACGATGACTAACAGGTAAGACTTCCTTTTCTCCTACGTGGACCAGGAACAGGAAGGGGGTGGGGCATCTAAACTCTGATGCAGTTTGCCCTGGTAGCAGTTTCTGGTCACTTGAAACAGAAGGGCAGACCTTTAATAAATTGGCTCACTTGGCTGTTTTTATTTTGCCTTTGCTCTATGTTGATGAGAAAAACTATCTTACTGACTTAAAAATTCACTGGGATGGGGCGCCTGGGTGGCTCTGCCTTCAGCTCAGGTCAGGATCTCAGGGTCGAGATGGAGCCCCAGAGCCCCATGTCGGGCTCCCTGCTCAACAGGGAGTCTGCTTCTTCCTCGCCCTCTGCCCCTTCCCCCCCTGCTCTTGCTCTCTCTTTCTCTCAAATAAATAAGTAAAATCTTAAAAAAAAAAAAAAATTCAATGGGATCTCTTCCAACTGGGTTGATCCTAACCAGACTTTTTGTCTTTTATGTACCCTTGTTCTCTCAACCCACAAGTTTTCTTAACAATTTAATGCCTTACACACCCGTCCCAAACAGCTTCATTCTCCACATTGAAATTTAGAAACTGCAAGTCTTCACCACGGTCAGCAAGGTCACCAAACTCTGTGCCTATTCCATTCAGCTTTCTGGTGTTGGCTTCTGGTGCTCTAATACCTGCCGCTTGGCTGCCTTTCTGTTGTGGTTAAGGACAGTTCCGGCTCCGGAGTCTGACGTTCAGGCTTGCCATGACCTGGCCACACCTGTTATTCCAGCCTCATCTTCCATATTCCCAACAGCACACCTATCCCCAATATTCACTATTTCTTGAATTACCCTCATGCTTACCCACTCCCAAGCAGTGGCTCTTCCTTCCAGTTGGAAGGCTATTATTTTCCACTACTCCTTTTTTTTTGTTTTAATTCATTTGAGAGCACAAGCAGGGAGCCCTATGCAGGGCTCGATCCCAGGACCTGGAGATCATGACCTGAGCCGAAGGCAGGCGCTTAACCATCTGAGCCACCCAGGCGCCCCTATTTCCCACTATGATGAAGTCTTCCCTCATTTCTCCATTTGAAAGTGACTGCTGTGCCCTCTGACTGACCAGTACCTCTTGTGACAGTATTATATGCTTAAGCACACAGGCACACCCCCAAATTCTACTAAGAGTTTCTTGCTGGCAAGGAACATGGTTGTTTAAGTAAGCTCTACACCCAACGTGGGGCTTGAAATCACAATCCCAAGACCAAGAGTCGCATGTTCCACCAACCGAGCCAGCGAAGCGTCCCCCGGCAACATGTTTTTTATACCTTTGGGCCCCCAGTGTCTGGTCTCCGATGAATGTTCATTAAATGTGTGAATGAATAAACAAACTGCTTTGCTCCTGCCTTGTTTGGTAGAACGTCTCTGGAATGCTCTTTCTGGTATGTAGAGGGCTGCTCTGAGCCCAGTTCATTGCTGCTCTCCTTTCTTACAGGACACGGAGGAGGTACAGAAAGGAGACAGCCCTAACTTATGATGGTGATGCTCACAGCCTCTCCTGCTTCCCTATCAGAAGGGCCCAGGGAAAGCCCTCAGCCTCCCAACACCAGTGAAGCCTCCTGCACCATCTGTGACCATAGCCCAGATCCCCAGGCTCTGGGAGGTTCCCAGAAATGTGCCGTCCACTGAGTACAATCAGCTTATGAATAAACATGATAAACATCAGCTCTGTATGACTGCGTGGTGGCTGAAGTGTCTCAATAGGAGTGACCCCAGCTGCAGTTTCTTATTACTGTAGTCCTTTCTCTAGCAGCTGAATGGAACAGGCCTTTGACTTACAGCCCAAGATTTCCAGGCCCCCCCAGCCCCCCCAGATGCACAAAGGCAGTTACAGGCACCTGGGACCTATTTTCATTATTTACAAAAGCCCAACAGAAACTTTCCCCTCAGTAAAGATGCACAGGATAACCAAAGCCTCAAGCCTATTTTGTGTTGAGGAACACTGGCGAGTTATATTACCAGTCATAAGCTGTGACTGTTTAAAACTCCTTGAGAAACATTGTTATTAGAATGAATCTGTCAACACTTGGATTCCTTAGATGAAAAGATAGTAAAGGGGTTGGTGGTGCAGAAAAATATGGGAATGCTCAGGGTGACTACCTACAGATCCTGAACCCCTCTCTCCAGCATTTAGACTGTCTGGGGAAAGAACCATCGAGAGCAGAGATGAGTTCTTTAACCCGTGTCGACATTTATTCCCCTGTCACTGGAGCTATAGCCCGGTTTGCACAAACAGAGATATTTCTGTTCTGTGTGCACTAAACAACAGTGTTCCTAGCAGAGTACCTAACTGGGTAGGAAGTTAATTTCATTCAGGACGTGCTTGTTGCAGGTAGACAGGCTAGGCCTCTTCAGAACCCAGGGAGGAACGGCCCAGCTTGGCAGCTGTACTTTTGTGCCTCCTAGTGTTGCTCTCATCTGACAGTAAGCACTGGCTAATTCTGGATAATCCGTGCTGTGACACCAAGCAAATCCTGGAGGCTGTAGAAACACGGCTAAATTGGGGAGCCTGGGTGGCTCAGTCGGTGAAGCATCCAACTCTTGATTTCAGCTAAGGTTGTGATCTCAGAGTCGGGAGATTGAGCCCCGAGTGGGGATCTGCGCTGGGCGTGCAGCCTGCTTAAGATTCTCTCTCTCCCTCTGACCCTCTCCCCACCCTCTCTCTCTCTCAACAAAGTCATCCAGCCTCATAGCCAGAATGATACTTTCTGAGCAGATGGCCTCATCCTTCCTGTTTACTGACATGCAAAGCTCTGAGAAAAGAGAATCTAATTTACAGGAAACACCACACTTCAGGAAAGGGAAAGAACAGGTGGTGTGTATACTAAGACCCCACTTGTTCAGGCAAAAAGTGAGACAGACTGCAGAAGAGGAACTTCCCACTGGCTCACCAATGGAATTCTATTAGGAAGTGACCATCACGTACTGAGTTTATTTGTGCTCTAAAATATTTAAATATCAACATGCACCTTTTCCCTGAATGACTTCACGGGTCATGGCCAACATAGAACTTGGAAAGGAAATCCTTTGGCCTCGGCGCTTCTGTTTCATGGAAGAACCGCATGATGTGTGTCCGCTGCTTCCATACGTTAATCGTTTCCTCCAGTTCCATCTTTCCCTGCACAAGTGAGGGGAGAGGTGTTCAGTCAGAGTGGCCGAGGGGAAGGAACACGACACTGAAGGCCAGGATTCTGTTCTCTGCTCTGGCACCAACTTATTGAGTCACCTGGGGCAGGTAACATCCTCTGTCAGGACCACAGTTTCTGCATCTGGAAAATGAAGTGGTTGGGCTAACTGATCTCTGCGGCCTTTCAAATACTTTTTAACTCCGTAGCTAACTGATCCCAAGAGGAGAGACTTCCAGGTCAACAGGCCCCTGCCCCATGACTGCCTAACCTAACTGGCTTAACTTGGTTTCTGCTAAACATTCCTCCCATGGTACGTACTGGTCCACGCTAAAGTTCGCACTGATGCTAACGTGACTGACCAGAGATAACACAATCAGGCCTGGGATTTGACCCCATTTACACAGGACTCAGCTAACCAGCCTGCCTCTTCCAGCTGCAACCTGGTAAAGCAGTAACTTCTAGGAATGAGGTTCAAGAAGAATTTCAAACCTTCCTCCTTAATGTCTTTTTTCAAAATGCAAGCCCTGGGGCACCTGTATGGCTCAGCTGGTTAAGTGTCTGCCTTCGGCTCAGGTCATGATCTCAGGATCCTGGGATCAAACCCCGTGTTGGGCTCTGTGCTCACAGGGAGTCTGCTTCTCCCTCTCCCTTGGCCCCTCTCCCTGCTCATGTGTGCCCACTCTCTCTCAAATAATAAAATCTTTAAAAAATAAAATAAAAATGCAAGCCCCAATGGGTTTTTTTTTTTTTTTAACAATCTTATATTTAATCAGGTGATAACTTCTAAGTTCATCTGTTTCTTTGAAACACTAAGCAAAAGTTACTGACCTAGTAGTTGCTTTTTAAACTTGGGAGACAAAATTGAGAAGCTCTGGACAAGCTGGCTGCTCTTAAGTCAGTCAGGGAGGGTCAATTACCTTAATAACCAAAAGGTCCACCACCCTGGGGTCTGTGACGTGGGCATTCTTCATAAACATTTCTCGGACTTTATCCCGTCCTTGCTTCACGGTGATGTCTAGCTGGAACAAGTTCACTAAAGAGAAAACATGATTCAGGGTAGAAATTACATGGTTAAAACCTGTTTTACAAAAGTTGAGTCAATTGATAGTCATTGAACACATACAGGTTGCCCATTCATTTCATTCAGCAAATATTACTAGCCTGACCCTAAGCTAGGTGCTTATGGCTGTAGAGGGAGACGTGGCGCCTGCTCTCAAGGAGCTTATAGTTTGAAGAGACAAGATCGTCGTATCTGAAGAGGAGTATAGCACAGTTCAAGGGTATGAACAACCTGGCTTCAAATCCCAGCTGTCACATCACCCATGTGATCCTGCGGACTTCTCTGTGCCGGAGTGTATTTGTTTCTGAGGGAAAGGAGGATGATAACAGCACATAACTCCAGAGCTGTTGGGAGGATTCCATGAGACAAGATGCTTAGAACAGTGCCAGCATGGAACAGCTCTCAAAAATGTGAGCATTATCATCATATAGAACTGGCAAAAGATGACAGGGTTGAAATTAACAAGCAATGATGTGGTGTAGGTGTGTGCGGCACACAAACTTAGGGTTGAGGGAGACTGCTGAGTGTGCAGGGAAGGAAGGTTTCAGTCCAGCCAGCGATTACGACCACGTCAGGTTACTTGGGGGAAGGAGGGAGCAGTCTACAATGTAACTCCTCTATTCTCTCCAATTCTGTTCTGAGGGGCAACCATCCACAAATGCAAACATAAAATCACAATATTCAGCAATCCCTGGCTAAGCAGATGCTTAAAAGAGTGGCACAGCCTTAGGGACCTAGGACTTCATATGAGGCACATGTCCTTTGCAAATTAGGTTTTAGTCATTTGTATTCCCATCCTCTGGTAGTCAGCCTTCAGTGGATTTGCTGATGACAACGAGGGCACGAACAGGGCCCTGTATGGTAGGCGGGATTAGGAAGACGGGGTACATTAGGCTGAGGGGACAGCATAAACAAGGCTCACAGGCTAGAATGAGCATGTGGCTGGGGAGACCTGTGTGCTCATTTGGTGAGGATGCCCTGTGTTTTGGCCATTCTTGTGACATGTCCACTCTCGTCTACAGAATTATCACAACGTCTGAACACCATGAGAGCTATGGAGTGACTGAATGAATCGACAATAAAGTTCAAATCTATACTCGATTTAGTGACCAATAGAAAAATAAAGCTTCTGGGCGCCTGAGTGGCTCAGTTGGTTGAGCGACTGCCTTCGGCTCAGGTCATGATCCTGGAGTCCCGGGATCGAGTCCCACATCGGGCTCCCTGCTCAGCGGGGAGTCTTTTTCTCCCTCTGACCCTCTTCCCTCTCGTGCTATCTCTCGTTCTCTCTCTCTCTCAAATAAATAAATAAAATCTTTAAAAAAAAAAAAAAGAAAAATAAAGCTTCTGCTGAGGAAAACACCATGCCGTGCTGATCCCAGCAGGGAATAAGCAATAGCAGAAATCTAACAGGAGAAACCGCAGCCCAGCTTTACAGGTAAGTGTTAACAGGGGACAGAAAATCACTCACACTGGAAAGAACTCAGGATCCAGTGGAATGCTGGAGCAGACTCTCATGGAGCCTCTCTTCCCAAATCTGCCTTCACTGACTTCACTTTGGTAGCTTAAAATCAACCATGGTGGGAGTACCAGCCCCCGGAAAATGGGTCAAAGCTGTAAATCTGGGTTCCCACCACAGTCCGTATCATAATAGGGATTTTATTTTTTATTTTAGAAAGAGAGAGAGCAGGGGGAGGCGCAGAGGGAGAGGGGAAGCAGACCCCCCACTGAGCGGGAAGCCTTATACGAGGGCTTGATCCCACAACCCCGAGATCTTGACCTGAGCCGAAACCAAGAGTCAGACGCCAGGTGCCCCTCATAGTAGGAATTTTAGAAAAGAGCAAACAAAGGGACAATAAGACAAAGAGACACAAAAACAAGTGCAAACTAACAAGGATCCTGGAATTTAGAACGCTCCCATTTGGGGGGAGTGAGGCCTCCCACACTGTGGGTACTTGCCTGAGGTCATACTATTGCTCCCTGGGAAGTGTGGGCCTGGAATTCAGGTTATTTTTAATTTCCAATCTGATGCTTTTTGAAGGAAATGAATATAAGGACTCTTCTCCTGCTATCAGTGCTTACCTTTCCTGCATTTTTATATTAGATCCCTGCCCAACCTTGGGAGTTTAAAAAAAACAAGGTCCCTCTATACTAGGGGAGCTGGTGCCCATTTGCTCCCATTCCTCATGATTTCCAGAACTACACACCAGGGCGCTGGGTGTCCAAGTCTTCTCCTCAGGAAAATGTTCACAGGCACATATGCAAAGTTTTGCTTACAATGTCAGTTCATAGACTCCTGAATGCCCATCCTCCCAGGTTAAGAGCCCTTGTCTCTAGAGAGACAAATTCCATAGCTTTGTCCTAATCTCCCTCCTCCCACCCCAACCCTCTGAACGTGCCCCTCCTCCAGTGAGAAAGGCTGTGGGAAGGCAAACAGGAACAGCCTAAGCTATCACCTGCTTTGGTTTAACTCGGTGGTTCTTAAACCAGCAATGATTTTGCCCACCAGAATATCTGGCAATGTGTGGAGGCATTTTGGGTTGTCACAACTAGGGAGAGTGCTACTGGCATCCAGTGGGCAGGGGCCAGGGATGTTGTTAAACATCCTACAATGCACAGGACCGCCCCCACAATTATCCAGCACAAATGTGTTGAGAAACCCTGGTATAAATTAATTCCAACTGCTTTTTCTCAACTCAGTTTCTTGGCTTATTCTTTGAATTCTGAATATTTAAATTGCAATTTTGAAAAAATCTAAGAGGCTCAAAAGGAAGGTATCAAAGTGCCCCTCTTGGAGGAAGGTGCCTTTCCCACAGGCTCTGCGTGTTTTTCCAAAATTACTGTCAAGGTTTTCCTGAGTCAGGAAGGCTCTGACACATTAAGAGGGATGACACTGATATTCTCAGCTGTTTGCTCCCATTCACTTTGGGAGCATTCATACCAGGCACTGGGAGATCCTGAGATGGAAAAGCGGCATGGTGTACTGGAGAAGAGCATGGGGTCAGGGGTCAAACCAGCTGGGTAAGGTCCCCTCACCATTATGAACTATGACCTTGACTAGGGTACAGCCTCCTCAGCCTGTTTCCTCAGCTAAAAAATAGGAAAGAAAAGAAACTCAGACCTAATTCCTTTATAGGAACATGGCAAAAATCGAGTGACAACATCTTGTAAACAGTAAAGCGACTATAAACATTAAACATCTCAACACTTACTCCCCATACATCGATTTTAAGTTTTAATGGTCTGGATATATGCCTATCTTCCTGACTAAACCATAAAGCCCCTGAGGGCAGGGTTGTTTTATTCACTTTTGTGTCTCTGGGCATCTCGTACCAGCCCTGTTGTACAAGAGATACCCAATGAAATGGAAATTGAATGAATAGTTTCAACAGAAAATCTCCTGTTTTGTAACCAGCAAGCCTCATGTAATATTTTTTTCAGTGGAGGGAGTCGAAGGAAGGCAGTTCTGTCTCTGTGCTCCCATGCAAGGCAGCCACCACCCAGGCAAATGGCTGCTATACATGTGCAGGGTAACCGGGTCCCATGAGATTCGGGGAAAACTAGAGCAGGAGCAAAGAGGCAGGTATAACAGTTGGACAGTCAGGGTCTGAAGTTTGGTTCCTCTCCTTACTAATGGTGTGATGAGACACATTTACATGCCTCAGTTTTCTTATCTGTAAGACAAGGACACAATTAGAACCCACCCTCGAACAAGGCAATGTAAAGCATTTGGCATAGTGCTGGGCCATATGTATGCAATTCAAAAAATGTCAGTTATTAGGGGCACCTGGATGGCTCAGTCGTTGGGCATCTGCCTTCAGCGCAGGTCATGATCCCAGGGTCCTGGGATCGAGCCCCGCATCGGGCTCTCTGCTCTGCAGGAAGCCTGCTTCTCCCTCTCCCACTCTCCCTGCTTGTGTTCCCTCTCTCACTGTCTCTCTCTGTCAAATAAATAAATAAAATCTTAAAAAAAAATAATAAATAAATGTTAGTTATTAAAAATACTATTACTATTCCCAATTCTTGGTTTGGTTACTCAGCTGGAGTCCCAACGATAGATAGCATGACACCAGTGTAGACACAGGCCTGAGCAACTGACCACCTACAGACGACCAGCTACAGACCACCAATCCTCCCCATAGGGAGGTACCACCCCTTTGACCCTCCCCGCCTCCTCCCCGCCTCTGCCCCTTGATCCCACAACCCCGAGATTCCTTTCAGGACCCTTCTGTCTCTGGAATAATCTTCTCAAACAGTATTTGAGGGGAATTCCTGAGAGGGGATAGTTTAAAAACTTCTGGGTCCTGACTGTGGATAACTCGGTCTATCCTCAACTCAGCCACTGATTTTTTTTTTTTTTAACCCTTTGCAAACCATTCTTCCTGCATCTGCGTCTTGTTCCCTACCTCCTACTCCTCTCTGCAACAAGAAAGGGTTCTGGGCACTCATAGCAATATTCTGCTAGGCAAACATTCTCTTTTTAAAACACCCCCAATTGAATACACCCCCGTCCCCTGCCCTAAACACACAAATGCAGACACTTGCTACTGTCACTTCCCTACACCTAGTATCCACTTGTCCCCTGAAGGCATTTAAGTTTGCAGTCCCTGAACCAGCAGTTCACTTAAGTTTCTCCCTCCCTTTTATCCCGGGGTCTAAGTTCTGGTCATGAGCAACCTCTCAACAAGTCAGGTTCAGGATAGGGACACTGTGGAGCAGACAGTTCTCATACATCAAAAAAACTGGATTCTGCATGGATGCTCCTGCTATAAATAACAGTAATAATTAATAATAATCATAATAATAAAAACAACAGTAGCAGCCAACATTCAGTGAGTACCTAATTAAGTGCCAGGGCTTACCCTCAGCACTTTAGAAATATTACCGATTTAATAAGGGCTACTCTCTGAAGAAGGTACTATCATGATGCTCATTTTACAGATGAGGAAACTGAGGCACAGCAAGATAAAATAATTTGCTCAAGGTCACACAGCTAGTAAGGGGGAAGGTCTGGAGGCAAGTCTCTGTAACTACCACATTCTATTCCTTCTCACACACAGGCAGGGAAGTGACAGCCCAGAGGGGAGCTATGGTGCTCTAGCTCACTTTAAAAACACCTTCCCTCTGAGACGCGCAGTGACAGTCCACATTAAACCACACCCAACAAAACAACAAAATATCAACAGTCCCTGACATTTGTAGGGTCCCTGACAGTTTAGGTGGGATTTCCCTCCAATCTTCCTCTCGTCAGAGACATTGGGCAGTGCTGACGGGGAATGCCAATATAAGAAAACAGAATCTCCGCATCCAGGGACCTTGTATTTCAATCCTTCCAGTGAACAGATTGGTTCTTGGACATCTAAGTGAAGGCAGGGGACAGTGAGACAGTAGGGGGCAGGCCATTAGGGGGGAGGGGATGAGTTCCTAAGAAACAGGAGAGACAGGCAGAGCTAGGGAGCAAGCTTGGGAAACTGGACCTGGGAGGAGGCCATCTCACCTGGACTGGAAAAAGGCACCACCGACTTAACTGGATGACCTTGGGAATGTCACTTCCCTTCTCTGGTGGTCTGTTTTTTCTGTGGGAGATGTGGGAAACAGATGATCGCTCAAGTCCTACAGCCACTTTGTTTATATAACCTAATGGGCACCTGTAAATACATTCAGGAACTCCACGGCTGGCTTTGGGTTCCAGATCCATCAAGGGCTGGCTCTGGGCCTCGGGGGCATCACCTCGCCTCTAGGTGCCTCACGTGCCTCACCTATAAAATGAGCACGTCATCCACAGTCCCTGCTCTCCCTCCCACGGGTTCGTTAAGAACTGCGGGGGACAAAAGGGCCAACGCGCCCAGGGCTCCTAGAAGCTTGGTTCGGGTGCAGGGCACGGCTTGAGTCTGGCGGCGCCGCCGCCGGGTCGGGTCCACCAATGCTCGGGTGACCCTCCTCCCCTGAAGCACCCGGAGTCGCCTGTGCCCAAGTCGGTGACCTCAGCTCGTCCCGGGAGAAATGGGAGGCTGGGACGGCTGCGACCCTGGGCGGCTGCATCCGGAGCCCCGCGTGCGCCGCGGCCTCTCACCAGTGTTCGGCACCTCTCGATACCAGGCGCGGTACAACTCGCGCACCCTCCGCTTGGCTTCGTTCATGTCCCGACTAAACATGGGCTTCACTGAAGTGGGAGCCGCAGCAGCGGCCCGCCGGAGGCCGCTCGCCGCCATCTTGCTAAAGAAGCCACCTTCCGCTAGGGCGGCTGAAGGACGAAAGTCTTTTGTCATTGGCTAAAACTGAAAGCCACGCCCCTAGGCGCCACGGGTAGGCGGGAGGATAGCTGTGGGGCTCTCTGAATGGCCTGGAGGCCTCCATCTCTGGGTGGGAATGGCCGCTGGGGGCTGCGCATGCCCAGGTGCGGAACCCACCCCCCCCCCCCCCGCTCAGCCGTTGGCGGGCCTAACCGTGCCCCAACCGTGCCGCCAGGGGACGCTCGAGCGCCAGACTGGCCGCGGAGCAGCTGCCTGGCGTCCCCCAGCGTCCCGCCGGCCACCTGCTCGCCGCGCTCCTTTGGTTGCGCCCCTGGGCGCGCGGGCCTCGCAGAGCTTCGCGGCTCGTTTTCGCCGGGCGGGGGCCGCGGGTCCCCAGGAGCGGCGGAAGCCCCTCTTGGCGCCTGGGCTTCCGTGGCGCTGGCCTGGCCCCTGTGTGATTTTTCTGCTGCCACATTTTTTTCTTTATTTCCCCAATAAACCAACTCTTCGGAAGCGCTGTGTAGCTGCCAAAGCGCTTTCCTGGCTGTTGGCTTCCTGGCGCTTCTCCACATCCCGGGGAGGTAGGTTCTATCATCAGCCCCGTTTTAGACAAGAACGTTTGCCTCCTAACCTGTGGATCTCTGTGAAAAGCAGCCCAGAAATGTGGAGCTGGAAGGAGCCTTGCATCGACCATCCCGGGTATGCCCTCCGTTGCTGGCATTTTTCTCCTGAGGTTGCCTCTGACCATCCCGGGCTGCTAAGGGAGAAATAACCGCTAACGCAGGGCAGGCCGCGCGTTAGGCTCGCTAGACCCTTTTACCTGGTCTTTAATCTCATGGATCAGAGAGGTTCTGTTAGCACCCCAGGAGACAGGTGGTGTAGGGTCCAGGCACATGACCACATGCATCACAACACACCTGTGGGATAAGCACTGTTCGACACATTTTACAGATGAGAAAACTGAGACACAGAGAGACAAAGTTACTTGACAGGGTTGGCTTGAGACTCAGGTAGCTGGCCCTGGAGTCTGTGCTCTACCTCTCACAGCACCTACATCATCACATCTATCCGTCTAATTCTAACCCCCTACACGCTCCTGCCTCCTCCAGGAGTAACCACTATCATGAATTTAGTGTTTAACACTCCTTTTCATTGAAAAAAAAATGGCCTCCAAAACAACTCACAAACTGGGAGAAAATATTTGCAAATCATATATTCCATAAAGTATTTGTATCTAGAATATATCAAAGACTCTTACAACTCAGTAATAAAAAGACAAATAGCCCGATTTAAAAACAAGCGAAGATGGGGCACCTAGCTGGCTCAGTAGGTAGAACATCTGACTCTTGATCTCAGGGTCATGAGTCCAAGTCCCATGTTGGGCATGGAGCCTAGTTTAAAAAAAAAAAGCAAAGGTGACAAACCCAATGGCAGGAACTCTGTCAGTGCTGGTGAGAATGAAGAATCAGACAGCCACTTTGGAAGTCAGTTTGGCAATTTCTTAACAGAACTAAACATGCTCTTCCCATATGATCCAGCAATCACTTTCCTTAGTCTTCACCCAAATGAGTTGGAAATTTTTATTCACCCAAAAACCTGCACACGGATATTTATAACAGCTTTATTCATAGTTGCCAAAACTTGGAAGCAACCAAGATGTCCTTCAGGAGGTGAATGGGTAAATAAACTTTTGTATATCCACACAATGGAATATTCTTTAGCATTAGAAAGATATGAGCTGGGCGCCTGGGTGGCTCAGATGGTTAAGCGTCTGCCTTCCGCTCAGGTCATGATCCCAGGGTCCTGGGATCGAGTCCCGCATCGGGCTCCCTGCTCAGCGGGGAGCCTGCTTCTCCCTCTGCGTCTCTCTCTCCCTCTCTGCCTCTCATGAATAAATAAATAAAATCTTTTTTAAAAAAAAAGAAAGATAAGAGCTATCAAGCCATGAAAAGACGTGGAGGGGGGGCGCCTGGGTGGCGCGTGGGCTGAGCAGCCCACTCTTGGTTTCGGCTCCAGTCTTGATCTCAGGGTGCTGGGATGGAGCCCCAAGTTGGGCTCCATGCTCAGTGTGGAGTCTGTTTAAGACTCTCCCTCTCTCTCCCCCTCCCCCACTAAAATCAATAAATAAATCTTAAAAAAAAAAAGACATGGAGGAAAGTTAAATGGATATTACTAAGTGAAAAAAGCCGATGTGAAAAGGCTGTATGCGGTATAATGCTAGTTCTATGGCATAACAGAAAAAGACAAAACTGTGGAGACAATAAAAAGATCATTGATTGCTAGGGGCTGGGGGGAGGGAGCAAGGAATGAATAGACTGTGTGATACTATAGTGGTTGATACCTGTTACTATACGTTTGTCCAAACCCATAGAGTGAACCCTGACGTAAACTATGTATGGGCTTTGGATGACAGTGGTGTGTCAATGGGGGTTCATCAGTTGTAACAAATGCACCACTGGTGGAGGGGGATGTTGATAACAGGGGAGCCTGGGGTTGGGGGGTAAGGGTATATGGGAAATCTCTGTACATTCCACTCAATTATGCTGTGAAGCTAAAACTGTTCTAAAAAATAAAGTCTATTTTTTTAATGGGCAAAGGATTTGAATAGCTTTTTCTCCAAAGAAGATATACAGTGACCAATAAATACATGAAAAGACACTCAACATGGTTAGTCATTAGGTAAATGCAAATCAAAACCATAACAAGATACCATTTCTTGCCCACTGGAATCCCAGAATAAAAAGACAATAGTGTTGGTGAGGATGTGGAGAAATTGGAACTCTCATACACAGCTGGTGGGAATGTAAAATGATGCAGCCACTTCGGAAAACAGCCTGGCAGTTTCTTAAAAACTCCAGTCCTAGGTATCTACCCAGAAGAAATGAAAACATTTGTCCGTATGCAAATGTTCATAGCAGCATTGTTCCACGGTAACCAAAAAGTAGAAACAACCCAAAAGTCCATCAACTGATGGATTAAAAAAAAAAGTGGTTAAAAATGTGGGATATATCCATACAATGGAATACTCTTCAGCTATGATGAACCTTGAAAACATTATGCTAAATGAAAAAAGCTAGATGCAAAAAACATATTGTATGATTTCATTTATATGAAGGGTTCAGAAAAGGCAAATCTACACAGATGAGTGGGTTAAGTGGGAATGCAGAGTGAATATAGCATGAGGTTTCTGGGTTTTTTTATTTATTTAAATTCAATAAGCCAACATATAGTACATCATTAGTCTCAGATGTAGTGTTCAGTAATTTATCATTTGCATTTCTGTTTAGGCGGAGGGAGATGCTCTGAAATTAGTTTGTGGTATAGTGTACAACTTTGCAAATGGACTAAAGTCCATTGAATTGTACACTTAAAATGGGTGAAGGATAAATTTTATGTTATGTAAGTTATATCTCAATCAAGCTATTGGGAAAAAATGGCCTCAGATGATTTTTCAAATGTGTGAAGTCCAGTGTATTTTAATAATGCCTTCTTGCTCTCTCTGCCTTAAAGAAAGAAAAAAAACCCTATTTGTCTCTGTTAAAAACAATGATTTTAGAAAACTGGGAAAGATTAGCACAGTGCAGAAGATAAATATGCTCTATAGAATTAGAAGCAAAGTAGTATATAGTGAAAAGAATTTGTCAGTTCCTGATACCAGTTACAAGCTGTATGTCAAGCTACCTTTCCCCCATGAACTTTGGTTTCCACATCTGTAAAATGGGGATAATAGTGGCTGCCACACACAGGGTTGTGAGGATTAAATGAGGTGATGTATGTAACGTGAAGTGCCTAGAAGATGTCTGGTGCACACAGATGTTTGTTAAGTGTCTACTAATCAGATTATGAGAATCCTGTTAACTTTCTTTAGCCTCAATCCGTATAACATGTTACACAGAGTAGATCCTAGTGATCAAGAGCCAGTGAAGGGTGGCAGTCTTGTGGGGGAGGGGGTGGAGTTTATCCAGGGTATTTTCTTGATCCTATGTTTGCATCTAAGACCCTATTTTTTTTTTAAGATTTTATTTATTTATTTATTTGAGAGAGAGAATGAGATAGAGAGAGAGCATGAGAGGGGAGAGGGTCAGAGGGAGAAGCAGACTCCCTGCCGAGCAGGGAGCCCGATGCGGGACTCCAGGATCATGACCTGAGCCGAAGGCAGTCGCTGAACCAACTGAGCCACCCAGGCGCCCTAAGACCCTATTTTTTACTTACATTGTACATTATGCCCCAAATTAAGAAAATGTCAATATTCTGTAACAAAGAATGTTACTTTATTGGGGGGAGGGTGTTGACATAGATGTGGGTTAAAGGCTAACCACTACCCCCAGCCCCTCTTGCCACTGTCCTTGGTACCCAGTGAATGTTACATTGAGTCAAATTGAAGCCGTCGACATTTATGAGACTTGCTCAGTTGACCGTGGAGTGAGAACTAGCTCCCCAAATTTCTTATTCAGTGTTTTTCTTCCACTCCCTCCCTCTCTCACCCCACTTGGAGTCCCCAGATGGAGGCAAAACCAGGAACTGATTCATCAGGGTCCAGAAACACAGCCATGCAGTGCCTCCTGCTTGGCCTTTTCTTTCTGGTCCCTATAGGGAAGGGAAAGCGGCTTTTATCATTTTCCCTGTGTTATACCACACATTTTAAAGTAAATTGTAGGTTCATATGTATAAGAAATAAAACAGAAAGGTCAGGTGTGCCCTTTACTCAGTTTTTCCCAATGGTAGCATATTGTAAAATGATAGTAACAATAGAACCACCAGAATATTGACATTGATACAATCAAGATACAGAACATTCCCAATATCCCTCATGTTTCCCTTCCCCCAACCCCTTCTTAGTCCCTGATAAAGGGACTCCATTTTATCATTTCCAGAATGTTATACTTTTGGGCGCCTGGGTGGCTCAGTTGGTTAAGCGACTGCCTTCGGCTCAGGTCATGATCCTGGAGTCCCGGGATCGAGTCCCGCATCGGGCTCCCTGCTCAGTGGGGAGCCTGCTTCTCCCT